AAATTAAATTGTCAACATTAAATTTCCCTTTGGGATTCATAAAACATTTCTGAATGCAACTGAATAAACATTAGGACCAATTTTTCATTTAAACTTGTTTTCTTGTTTTTTTACATTTTAGAGAGTCTCCTTTAGTCTCCAAGTGCTATGTCCAGGCACAATACTATTTTAGTTTTGTATCGACACTGAAGATGTTTTTTTGTTTCATTTTTGCTCTTGTTAATTTTAGATATCTGGATTATTTTTACGTTAAAATAATAATACCTTAGATGACCCTAAAATACTGTGAGCTTTTTATATTAAGTGAAATATTTGTAAGGCTTTAATCATTTGATGTTTTTTTTTTATCCTCATGGGATCAAAAATGGTATCGAGTTTAAAACATTTTCCTGGGTATCAACATTGTGCTTGAAATTTTAGTATTATGACAACCCTAAAGAGGTATAGTTGTTTCTGTGGGGAAGAGTAAGTGCCTAGAGGAAATATGATAAATATTATAGATTTTTAGGTAAATATGAAAGTACTTGAAACAGATGACAGCTTGAACCTTTTGTTTAGGGCTGCAGTGCTGAGTTGGAAATGTGTGGTCAAAGTTCTTCATCAGTCAATGTTTTATCAGTTTGCTTTAAACTGACAACACATCCGTTTTTAATTAACCATATGGGCTGAGATCATCCTTTTCAGCAGTAATGTTTGGTCAATCTTTGCTGTAATTTGACCAACAGCAGCCTTGATTTTGCAGCCATGATTTTGACTGCTAATTCCTCTAAACTAATAATATTTAAGAACATCTGAAAAAAAGAAACTCTCCAAACTCAGCCTGCCTGCACTCCCAGTATCAGCACCTGCAGCCTGTAATGGTAAAAATGGGACACACTTCAAATCTCAGTAACTAGCTAACACGACAACACAGAACCCACATTTTACAAGTTAAGAGATTAACTGTTTTATTTTTGGTTGTGTAGTGTGAATATTTTCATGTGAGTTGGGCATCTGACCTCTGACAGAGACATTTAATTGATTATAAATTGTAGAGGACATTTTAAAAGATTTCCAATTCTTTTTTATAAAAAAAAAAATTACTTTGTGTTTTCAGTCGAGTTCATTGACAGATTCCAAAGGATTTCCAGAATTTCCATGGATTGTATTTATTTTACTCTCTACCATGAAATGAAAGATTTAGGACATTTTCATAAGGAAGTGATTGACTACGCTTTTGGTTGGTGTTGACTGTATTTTTATTTTTTTTCTATGCTCATTGCAGAGATTTGAGATATTCATTTGTGGCCACTGTTTGCAGAGATTAAATTGAAACAGGATTATATGCTTGGGCTGAATTGAGTGAGAACAAACATTAAGAACTTATAACAAACGTAAGAGTCTCTTTTCTTCTTCTATCATGAGCTGAATCCTACAACCTAAAGAGGAAGCTGATTTAACCCGCGACCACTCAAGCTCTTCTGTTGGTAATGATCCATCTCTCACACAAATGAAATATTTAGAAAGCTATCTCAAGCCTATTGTTAAATAGATCAGAAGGTCTGTTTAGCTGTGAGGCTGTATCTCAACCCAGGAGCCCTGGAAACTTTGTTAGCGGGTGCTGCATAGCTTGTCATTCAAGAAAGACGGGACATTCTGAATACAAACCTGCCGCGCTTAATCAAGAAACGAAAAATATGTCATAGGTTGGGTCTTTCAGCAGCATACAAGCATAACGATCCAAAAATTCATGGCATAATCAAAACAGAAGCGCTTCACCATCAGGCACAAAAATAACTAGGGCTGCATCTAATGGTTATTTTGCTAATCTATCAATTTGTTGATTATTTTATCAATGAATAATCGAATGAGAAAGGTTCCATAAGGTTCCCTAAACCAGAAGAAACTAACACTTTTCCACTTGAGGAGTTGTGGATAGATTTTTTTTTCTTAATCTTAAACTCAAATGTTTTATATATATATATATATATTTTTTTTTTTTACAATTTTGAAAAAATGACTGCTCTACGTGGGTGCCTCGGTCAGCAAAAGGCAGAATTTCTACCCTCAGTAAACAAATAATTGACGACTAATTAAGATGACTATCATTTAACAATCGACTAATCACAATAAATCCATTTAATTGTTTCAGCCCTTAAATCAACCTTGGCCTAAAAGGAGATAAGGGAAGATTTTGAACAATCTAGAAATGGTGAAAGAGACCTCTCTCTGTTGTATGCTCAAACCATGTAAAATACAAAGCAAAGACTTAAGTTCTACCCAGTTTACAAAACCAGGTTTACAGTATAAAGTGCTTTCAAGAACCACAAGCCTTTTTTTTTATCATTATATAACCACAAATGTTTGTAGGGCACCAGCTAAGAATGCAAACAGCAGACATGTTAGAAACAATTAAGTTAAACTGAGAATGCACATACTTAGAGGAGACCTACAAACAAAAAACAAGAAAAGAAAAAAAAAAAAACTTTTTACTATCCTCATTGGAAAACAGCATACATTCATGAACATCTAGTCTTTTTATAAAGTCCAGATGTGAAGAAATTGTCTTGGAAATCCATTGGTGATTTATATGATTATCAGAAGGGGTTATGCATTTATTAGATCCTGTTTAAAGGGGTGTGTGAAGTTGAGATGGAGTTTGAGTGTCTGTCTGCAGAGACTATTGCCTTTAAAGCTTTGGGAAATAAACTGTCACAGCAGGTGTTTTGCAATCAGTGGACATTTTAAAGCAATTATCTCTCAACACAAGACCCTCCTGAATTAATGTTATTGAACTAAAAGAAATATGTTTTTATTAGTACTACAATAATGGTTTTATTTTGAAGGTTGATATACAATAATATGGTTGCCAACCATGTAATAGACAGTTGGGATAAGGAATAGGTTCTGTCACCTGGATTGCTCATTATATTCCAAATACAGGAAGAATGGGTAAATTCTTGTGTTTGTTTGGGTAAACAAAAGTTTTTAAAACCTTTCAAAAGTCTGCCACAGGTATGCTAACCTTAAATGTAGACAACACAGAAACAAAACTTAAGGACAGTAACTTACCACCGACTTCTTCCACTCCTTCCAGAAGCATATCTTTGGTAAAGTTTGATATCTGCCCGGTGAACGATGACAGACTCCCACCGACATTTCCCAGGGACTGGCCGAGGCCAGAGCCTAGTCCACCCAGCCAGGAGGACATATTGAGGGGCTGTTAGCCCAACAAAAACAAAACAAGTCCGAGGGAGACAGGAGAGCTAGCCACGGCTTTAGCTTTACTCTTACGAGGTCAACTCGGACATTAAGCTAAACTATAAATTGTACAATATATTAACGTATGTGGTATTAAAATCCACTTATTTGGGTGCGTAACTAAGCGGGTTTTACTACTATTAGGAGCATTTAGCAAGAACTAAAACACCGGCTAACAACAGCTGCTTGGTGTCCAGGAGGAATTTATCGGGACAAACTAGTCACGAAACATTATAGTCGAACAAAACATTGACTTATATGTCGGTTTCTGTCAAAGACGGTTATATCCGCAGGCGGTTTCGGCCATACGTGTTGAAGTTGTTTTCCTTTTTAGCGATCTATAGACCTGAAAGTGCCACCTCAACTGCAGCCATTATCAGCTTTGCTAAGCTGACAGGTTTGACGTGGACACGGACCTCCGCAGCGGTGCATTGTGGGATACTGGAAGTCCTCCAGTGGAGGACCAACAAACAGACCTAGAAATAAGTACCGGTAAAGAACAGGAAATAAAAACAGTAATTAAATCTTATTAGCGGATGAAAATATTTTATTAAAAATAACTCTTAATTTTGGTTTATGTCACATTTGGTCAAATTAAGACATCCAGCGTGTCTTAATGGTATTTCATTAAATTGGTTTGGTATGTGTTTCTT